GAGAACCTGAAACTTGAAATCAACCTAAACTATCAATTTTGTAGGTATTAGTGCACTAAATCCGCGTCCCCGTCAGAATTACTGTGAACTTGAAATCAAGACTCAAGGAGAACCTTTTTTGGGTGGTTTGGTTATCTTTAATTAATAAAAATTGATATAATTGAATCATTTTTTTTACAAAAACAACTATTATTATAACTAAACTATTCTCAGAACATGCAAGTAGAAGATGAATACCCCATAAATACCTTTGTTCCAAAAGTTAGGGTCAAGTGGTTGACTTGCAACTTGTTATTTGGTTAAATCAGCTGACTTACACGCACGCGCGCACACACACACACACACACACACACGCACACACTTGTTTGCTTGGATGTATGAGGTTACTACTATACTAGTTGTTTTCTTCCTATATTTGAAGTATCCACTCATATGGCTGAATGACAAAAGGCAGAGTTTTCATATTGATAGTTTGAACTTTGTTGTTTGTAGAGAACAGTTGACGAACCAGAAGACGTCTGTAATTTCATGGACAGTTTCTTAAATCACTTCCAATTTGTGAAGCTGTAGGAGGTGTGACATTGAAGATGAGTATCCAAGTTGAATAATTGAGTGATTACTTCAGATGGGAAGATTTCTTTTTCAGATTTTTTGGGTACGATGGAGCTGCTAAAACAAAATCTTAAGAGTTGTTGCTCTTTTTCTGGCTCTCCTTCCAGACTATGTAACAAGACTATAAAGGAGTGCCTGTTTCTTGTTTCCATATACTAGTTTTTTATGTGTTACGGTGGGTAATTGCAAGGATTGTTGGAATCAACATTGTTGCCTACATGATTGAGAGGTGGAAAACCTTTACAGGATTCTTTCATAAACTCCTTGTTATTGGGCAATGAAAGTTTTACATCAAAAACCACTTCTGATGTTTTGTTGTTTTTTTATTTTTTTTATGCAACGAAAAAACATCAGTCGCCATAAGTAGGTTAGGTGGTCGCAAAGATTTTACGGCTGCAAAAAGTATTTGTCACCCCCACATTTGCATTTCTCATTTGCCATCGCATGAGCTGTTGCAAAATGTCTTTTGTGACTATATTTTTATTATTTGTGACGCCTTATAGCAGTTGCAAAAATTGCTTCTTTAGTAATGATATATATATATGTAGTGAATGAAGACGCATGGAGGAAATCTAAACTGTCGAATTCCCGATTTGGTTTAGCTTCAAGCTGTTTATGCATACAATTGAAATCACTTGCAGTTCCATTCATGTTTTGTTCTTTCTTTTCTTTTCTTCTTCTTTTTTTTTTTTTTTTGCTTTTGCTTTTGCTTTTGCTTTCCCTCTGTTTGTTTGTGTGTATCTGAAAAAATTGGAGGATAAATTATATGTTAGGCATGATTGAATGGAAATAATGATCAGATTGAATAAGATTTTGTATGTAGAAATTAATTCTTAGCAATCTATGTTTTCTATACAAAATCTAGAATGTCTAAGAAATTCTTTGCATTGAAATAGATTGAATTAATTTTTCTCAGGTTTTGTATCTAAGAAAAAATATTTTGTTAGGTTTTGTATATAAATGCTAGTTTAGAAATTTGTTTCTTAGACATCTATTCTAGTGTCTTGAAATTTTGACTTCTCTATGTACCAAGTGAATTTCGCAATTAAATAAAAAAAAGTTAGAAAAGAGGGTAAGGCTCGAATTAACATTTGGGTTTGATAAATAACACACTTACCACTTGATTAGTATACGAAATATGATGGGTGTGTTTGGTTTGCTTTTCAGAGAGCGATTTTTTTTAAAAAAAAAAAATTAGGGGGAGAGTTTAGAAATTTTTTTGGTTTGTTTGGTTGTATATTTTGAAAATAGTTTTAGAGTTTGGAAGTTTGGGATGATTTGATGTAACGCCCCGACTTCCGAGTCGTTAATAAATCAAATCAACCTCAAATTTATAATCGCAGATAACTCAAAATCTCAAATATACAAATCGTCTCCATAAATAATTAACTCAAATGTCTCCAAAACATAAATTATACAAATCTCCAAAATAATATATAGTTGTGAACTAAAAAAAAAAAGCTCCAACTCAAATTATCTCTTTATATGCTTCAACTCCAATCGCCACTAAATTTGCTCCACGCCTAAAAAATAAATTAATTCGGGAAGTATACAATACAACAGGAATAACAAGGCTCGGATAGAAAATAAATCAACAGAGATCCAACAATTACACAACCGATTAGATTCGATAATCAAGCAATTTACCAAATTGCACAAACAAGTCAACTCGACATATGATAATTTATCCAGAACCAAATACCCGGTCCTACTCGATACATGACTAGTGACTGGCCTCACCCCCCTCACCCAAGCTCAACCGCTTATCCGGGCTATTGGTACAGAGCATATTGGCAAAGTCCACTTGATCCATGTACAGAGTATTTCCACGTCATTTAGCCAGACAAATCAACATTTCCCACACAGAATAACTACACAGAGTTCATCAAATAACTACACTCTTAATCTAAACTCAAAATTTCTATAATTTAAGAGAGAACATTATGAGAGAGATAGAGATATGGATGGACCAAGAAGAAGAATGATAGAAATGGTTGGGCTATTGGTACAGAGCATATTGGCAAAGTCCACTTGATCCATGTACAGAGTATTTCCACGTCATTTAGCCAGACAAATCAACATTTCCCACACAGAATAACTACACAGAGTTCATCAAATAACTACACTCTTAATATAAACTCAAAATTTCTGTAATTTAAGAGAGAACATTATGAGAGATATAGAGATATGGATGGACCAAGAAGAAGAATGATAGAAAAGGTTGAAAGGTGAGCTCAATTTATAGGCAAGGATACTTGGGACAAAAGAAAATGAAAAATAATAAAATAAAGTTTACTTGGTGGGCAAGAAAGGGGTGTACTTGGTACTTAAGCTTCTAGAATGTCATGATTACAAGCCTTGAGAATTGATCCCTCACACTCTCCTAGGTTGGCCGGCTATGGAGAAGGGAAATGGAGAATATTTTATTCAATATATGTGTACTATGGACATATTCCCAATGTATATATATAGAATTGGTACCAAGGTCATCATTGCTCCAAGATTTCAAGGGATTTGTTTGTACTAAAGCACAATGATTATAGCCTAGGAGGTATGATGGCTAGCCATGTGCTCAAGATTTGGGAGAGATTTTCCTATTTATTAAGTGTACAAATTCCATAAATATTGTGTACAAAAAGATTTGATGAATAAGAGGTACAAATATATATATATATATATACACAATGGCACTAACTTCAAAGAAAGGAAATTTACTTGGTGCCCAAGAATAATGAAAAAACAATATATTAGAAAACAAAGGAGATGAATAATAATGACGTGAAGAGAAAAAGAGATAAAATAAATAGAGAAAATAAGTTAGATTCTCATCTAAATGTCTCACCACCAAACTACAACCAATTCCTCTCACTAAAATATTAATACCTCAAAAATACGGGGTTTCACATTTGATATTTTGTTGTAATTTAGTAGATGTGTGTAAGAGAAAAAGTGATTGAGAAGGAGAGAGAGAGAGAGAGAGAGAGAGAGAGATTGATTGATATGTAAAAGTGAAAAAGTGATTTTCAAAATTTTTTGAGAAAAACCACAAACCAAACAAAATTTTGGAAAAACATTTCAAAAACAACTCTCCCAAAAGCAAACCAAACAAGCCCGATAAATTTGTTTGGTTGTACATTCTAAAAATAATTTTTAGGAAATTGAAAATCCAAAATTCATTTGGTTTAGTGATTCTGAAATAATTTTTAAAACTCTTTTTGATTTTAGAGTTTTCAAAAATAATTTTTGAATTTCAATCCATTTTTTATTGTTTGTAGTTAATTTTTTTAAATACTTTAATTAATATTTTTCAATTTTCAAATCTTGTCAATCTAAACAGTTATTAAAATGTATAAAATTTATGATTTTTTTTTTATAAAAAAATCATTAAACACTAACAAACATATCAGAAAAATATACAACTTTTTTTTAACTTTTAAATCCATTAATCTAAATATACTTAAAATGTATAAAATTTCAACCTAGGTATAGGTGTGTCCTAAATAGTGTTATTAAAAGCACGCCTAGGCCCAATTCCCAACCATGCCCACCTCCTGTGCCTTGCAGTAGTTAAGGCGAGGCGACTTCACTAAGACGCGATTAAAGCACACGACTCGAACAAGGCGCATTTAAGCCCAAGGCGCAAGCCTTGAGGGCTTTTTTTTTTTTAAATTCGAATTGGACCACCAAAATTTCATAAGTTAGCTATAGCAAATCATATTCTTCAAATATACTTGCCGATTTAGCCCCAAATCAACGACGACAGAAGAAACACCAAGCCCTAATGCAAATCTGCAAAGAAGTTGAACTATCTCAGTCATCGTTCAGTCTAGGAGCTTCGAATGTGCATATATATTCTTTTCTTTGTTTCTTCGTCTCTTTTTCATCTTCTCTCCATCTGTTCTCTTTGTCTGTTTATTTGTCAGTCTCTTCTTCTTCATCTTCTTCTTCTTCTCCATCTATTCTTCTCTTCTTCTTCTTCTTCTTCTTTGTCAATTCTTCTCTTATTTTCTGCTTATACCCATGTTGCCTTCTTCTTCTTTTTCTTTTATTTTCTACTTCTCTTATTCTTTTCTTTTTTTCATGTCTTCTTCTCTGGACTGCTCTATTGATTAAATATTTATTCTGAATTGCTTTTTTTCTTCTCTACTTTTATGATTTAGATGGCATCTGAAGGTGTAAGAAAAGATCCTGCATGGAAATATGCGCATCAGTTAGATCCTAAGAACCCAAATCAATTGAAGTGTAATTTTTATGGTAAGGTATCTAATGGAGGAGTTTATAGAGCCAACCAACACGTTGTTAGTGGTTCAAGGAATGTCATAGCTTGTCAAAAATGTCCGCATGATGTATAGGAAGAGATAAAAGAGTATATGAGAAACAAGAAAACAATGAAAGAGCAAATTAACTTGTTGCCTCATTTTGATGAGATGAACAATGATCTTGAAGAGGATGAAGATGACGTTGCTTTTGAGATTCATCGGCCTTGTGGACCAAGTGGTAAATCATTGCCAAGCAATCAAAATAGTTCATTTGCTGGATCAAAAAGGTTGAAGACAAAAGGGCCCATGGATGTATTCTACACACCCAATCCTAATTTTGTGGTGCAAAATAAAAAAGGAAAACAAACAACAATTGATCACAATGATCCTTATAATGAAAAATTAATAGACCGAGCAATGATGAGAATTACAAGATGGATATATGATGCAAGTATAGCTTTTAATGCAGTTAGTTATGACAGCTTTGGACCAATGGTTGAAGCTGTTGGGCAGTACGGTCCTAGTATGAAACCTCCTAGTTTCCATGAAGTGCAGGTTCCATATCTGAAGAAAGAGTTGAGTCATACAAATGAGTTAATGAGGATTCAAAAAGAGGAATGGGTGAAATATGGGTGTTCCTTGATGTCAGATGGATGGACTTCGCAGAGTGGGAGGACTTTGATTAATTTTTTAGTCAATTGTCCTAGAGGAACTATGTTTGTTGAGTCCATCAATGCTTCAAGCTACTCAAAGGATGGGGAAAAACTCCTTGAATCACTTGACAAGTTTGTGGATGATGTTGGAGAAGTTAACATAGTCCAAATTATCATAGATAGTGCCTCAACTAATGTGTTGGCTGGTAAGAATCTTTTGTCTTGATTCTTAAAAAATATGTACTTACTAGTTAGTTAGTTAGTTTAGTTGTCATTAAATAATCTTCTATGTTTTGTTTCTATAATTTTAATAGGTAAGTTTTTGGAGGCAAAGAGACCGCACCTCTTTTGGACACCATGCATTGCTCACTGCTTGGATTTGATACTGGAAGATATTTTCAAATTGCCACATATGAAGAAGACATTTGATAGGGCTATTCGGGTACACAGTTATTTTTATAACCGTCCAGGTGTGTTGAATATGATGAGGATATTTAAACAGTTAAAGAATTTGGTCAAGCTTGCAAATACAAGATTTGCAACAACCTTTCTCACTCTATCTAGGATTCATCAACAAAAAAATAGCTTGAGAAAGATGTTCACTTCGAAGGAATGGACAAGCTTCAAATGGGCAAAGGAGCCAAAGGGTAAGCAAGCAACACAGATTATGTTGATGTCATCATTTTGGAATCTAGTTGTCTATGCTCTCAAGGTCTCAGGTTCACTTGTGCACGTGCTTAGGTTGGTTGATTATGAGAAAAAGCCTGCCATGGGATACATTTATGAGGCTATGGATAGGGCTAAAGAAAGTATTGCAAAGTCATTTAATGAAAAAGAAGAAAAATACAAGAACATCTTTGAAATCATTGACAATGGGTAGAATATCTAATTGCATCAACCTCTTTATGCAACTGGCCATTTTTTTGAATCCGGAGTTCTTTTATGCTAATCCAAGTATTGTGCATGATATTGAAATCATGTCAGGGTTGTTTAAGTGTGTGTCAAGGTTGTGTCAAGTTTGGTTTGAGGCACTGAGATTCAAGATAAAATCACTCAAGAAATGAGTATTTATAGAAATCTGAAGGTCTCTTTGCGATGCCACTAGCAATTAGGTAGAGAATGACAAGGGCACCAAGTAATCCATTTTACACCATTAACTTTTTCATGCTTCTAGATTAAATCAAAAGTTTCTAGTTGTGCTAAAATTAGTTGCAATTCACAGCTGATTGGTGGTCTGCATATGGTTCTTCAACGCCAAATGTGCAAAAGTTTGCCATAAAAGTTCTTAGCTTAACCTGTAGTGCATCTGGTTATAAAAGAAATTGGAGTGTATTTGAGCATTTGAGCATCTACCTAAAGTTGGGTGAATTCCTCTTCTTTGTTTTCCTTTTTTTTTTTGTCATTTTTTCTTCTCATATGGCAAATTTTAATACATTCTCTTATTCTTGTAGCTCCACAGCAAAAAAGGAAATAGGTTGGAACAACAATTTCTCAATGATTTGGTATTTATTAAGTACAAGTGACAATTGAGATGTCGATATGATATGCGTGACACACTTGATCCCATCACTTTAACAAATATTGATGAAAGCAATGAGTGGTTGGTTGGGAGGATGGATGGAGAAGAGAATGAAGATAACGATAATGTGTTTGATGATGAAAGTTTGATGTGGGGTGATGTTGCTAAAGCTTCTAGAGTTCAGGAAAGAAATAAGAGAACTAGATCAACAACTTCAAAGACACCATCGACGTCGAGGGCAAGGCCAAGGGGTTCTAGATCATCAAATGCATGTCAATTGATAGATCAAAAAGAGACAGATTCAAAGGAGACAGAAGAGGAAGATGTAGAAGGATACAAATCCAATGATAAAGAAGAAGATTATGAGTTGAGTGCTGTTGATATTGAGGATGATGATGATTGTTAGATCCTCATTGGATAAACAGAAGCAAAGACGTGATGTTTTGTTGGTATAATTTGTTGATGTTTTGAAATGCATGCTTAAACTTGAAATATTGTTATTAGTTGACCTTTAGATCATGGATATTCGTGTTTTATGTTTTGAAATGCATGTTCATATTCATTTGTATATGTTAAAATAGTGATATTTGTTGGTATTTATTTTTTAAAATGTTCAATACTTCATTTTATTTATGTTATACCAGTTAGCTTTTTGCTTATATGTCTCATTAAATCATATTATTTCAACCTGCCATGGTGCACCTTACTTCAATGAAGCCCGCGCCTTGCCTTGCGCATTGCTCCTAAGGCCTTAGGAGACCTTGGCACCTTGGTGTGCTTATCGCTTTTAATAACACTGGTCCTAAATTTATTTTAATAATTTGAACCGTTCATAATGTAAGGTTTGTTGAGTAGATCATCTAAGAAAAAAAATTAAGTTAATTAGACATATGTGACCCATAATAAGATCACGTTTATATTTAAGAAAAATAAATGATTAGTATGATTTTGATAAATTCTTATAATTATTATTCAGCTTGATTATAGGGTTATGCTTGTTTGATTACTTTCATTTTTCATATGAAAGATATACTCAACGAACCCTATAATATAAACGGCTCGGATCATCAAAATATAGTCGGAACAAATCTCACATGGTTTGACAGCATGGGTGTTGTGACAATATCTATCCCTAAAAATTTACTCTCTCCCAAGAGCCACTTAAGGACAAATTTTCTCTCTCTAGGATGAGAGCTTCTCTGTCCTAGTACAGTTTTTCCTAGATTCATCCCAAGCTGTCAACAACATCATCTTCCTCCCCACCTCACTGGCTCTTTCTCCCCTCCTCTCACACAGCCCCTCTCTTATCCCTGTTTGCCTAGCTCCATCTCTAAACCCAATCTTTACATGCCTTATCCTTTCTCTCCCTCTCTCTCAGTCTAACCCTTACCATCTCATACCCAATCCAAATAATACATGTCTCTACACCATTCTTCCTTGTTAACCCCAATCTTTACCTGCCCCTACATCTCTCTCTCCATATCTCTCTCTCTCTCTCTTTCTCTCTCTCTTTCTCAGTCTAACCTTCACCATCCCCTACTCAACCTAGATAAAATTTGTACCCAGACATTACTCCGTCAACCTCCCCTTTCTCTACCTATCTATGGCATTTAATACGATAGAGCTTTCATAGTTGGATGGTTTGGCCGTAGAAGGATCGGGTGAGAATGAAGGTATATCCCACCTCTGTCTCCTTGGGAAGGTGCTGGCTTCTAAACCACTGAATAAGAGTGTTGTTACTAACATTATTCGTAATGCTTAGCGAATTTGAGGTGAGCTATTCGTAATGCTAATTCACTGATGGAGAAGACCATAATAAAATCTTAAGGGATAGTCCCTGGTTAGTTATAGGTTTTTTGTTAGTTCTTCGACCTCTAATCGCAGGACAAACCATGGAAGAGACCGATTTCAAGTGGTGCCAGTTCTAGGTTCAAGCCCATGGCCTACCCTTTAACAAGCTCACTAAGCAAAACGGTGAGATCATTGGAAACCATGTAGGGCGTCTGATTCGGGTAGAAGCTCATATAGAGGGGTTGTTGTTATATCGCAGCTTTTTGCGTATTTGAGTGGAGATTGACACAACTAAGCCCTTACCTAGAGGTTTCTAGCTTAAAATACCATTAGAGGGTAATGATATTTGGATATCCTACAAGTTCGAAAAACTATCGGACTTCTGTTATGCGTGTAGGAGGTTAGGCCATGATAGCAATGGGTGTAAGTTTGTGTCCAAAGAGGTTGGGGAACAATCTAGGAGGTAAGGATCACAACTGATCTTTCAGATAATGAGTAGACAAAGATGCCTTGAACAATCACATGGACACAGTTGATTTAGAAGGGTTTACAGCCAGACTTCAGAATGAAGTTGCCTACGTATCTCGAAGATGGAAATCAGGCCTTACGTAGTTCAGTTCGGGTTCGCTCAGGTTTTAACGCTCTCCTTTTACGCTCTAACTTTTGCCAAGGCCGCCCTTTCTGGGTTTTCAACCTTGCGAGCTCAATTTTTTTTCTTTCTAATTTTTTGTGCTCTAACTTTTGTCTAGGTCGCCCTTCTGGGTTTTCAGCCTAGCGAGCCACTCAAAGATAGTATTTCTTCAACTTGTCCATGTTGATTGGTTAGGAAAATTCTAGGCCATCTAGGTCCATAAGAATGACAGCTCCACCCGACCAGATGGTCTTGATAACGTAAGGACCAGTCTAATTGGGTCTAAACTTGCCCCTAGGGTCATGGATGGGAGCTCTATTGTCTTTCAGTACCAAATCCCCTTCCTTAAGATTCCGAGATGTAACTTTCTTGTTAAAGGCCCGGACAATCTTTCGTTGATATCCTTGAACATGGTACAGTGCTTTCAGCCTCCTCTCATCGAACAACATTAGCTCCTTGAACCTGCTCTGCTGTCAATCTGCTTCCGCTATCTGGCACTCAGCCATAACTAGCAACTACGAAACCTCTATCTCAATCAGCAGAACAACTTCCATCCTATAAACCAGAGAGTACGAAGTTGTCCCAATAAATGTCCGAATTGAAGTTCTGTAGCCCCAGAGAGTGAATGGCAATTTGTCTGGCCAGTCCTGATATGTCTCAACCATTTTCTACAAAATGTGCTTGATGTTCTTGTTGGCGGCCTCAACAGCTCCGTTGGTTTGCGGCCGATATGTAGATGACTTATGAAAAGCCACGTTGTGTTTCTCCAACAAGTCGATCACTTCTCTTTTGAAATGGGAGCCATTGTCTGAAATGATCTCATTCGGGACCCCATAACGACAAATGATGTTATTCTTGATGAACTTGGCTACATGCGATTGTAGACGTCCCCGAACGCCCCGGGAGGATGAGTCCCGTTCTGTTCATTTGGGGTTACTACAGTTCGGACTCGACTTGTGTCACGGTTCTTAATCTGAACCAAAGAGTCCAAATCTGGCAAATCGTTTTGAGAAACAGATTTTTGAAAAAGTAGTGCCAAAAAATGGGGTGTCTACAGCGATGCTTTCAGCACTACATAGGATTGGGCTTCGACCCACTTTGTAAAATAGTCTATTGCCACCAGGATATACTTATTCCCATTCGAGCCTTTCGGCGTAACTACCTCGACAACATCAATTTCCCAGACTGAGAAAAGCCATGGTGAAGTCATGTTGTATAGCTTCGACAGCAGGATATTTATGCGATTTGCATGAATTTGGCATTTGTGGCATCGCCGAACAAAACAAATACAATCCTCCTCCATGGTAGACCAGTAGTAACCTTGCTTGAGAATCTTCTAGGCTAGCTTACTCCGCTCATATGCACTCCACACTCTCCCCCATGGATGGCCTCCATTAGACGCTTCGACTCTTCGCGTCAACACACAGCTTGTGCATTCCCAGATGACCCCTTTTGTACAACTTACCCCCGCAGATGATAAATTGAACGACCATTCGCCGTATTGCCCTCTTATCTTTGACGTTTGTCCCTGGTGGATAAACCTCATTTTCCAAGAAGTTTCAGATATCAGGCTAGCTTACTCCGCTCATATGCACTCCACACTCTCCCCCATGGACGGCCTCCATTAGACGCTTCGACTCTTCTGCGTCAACACACAGCTTGTGCATTCCCAGATGACCCCTTTTGTACAACTTACCCCCGCAGATGATAAATTGAACGACCATTCGCCGTATTGCCCTCTTATCTTTGACGTTTGTCCCTGGTGGATAAACCTCATTTTCCAAGAAGTTTCAGATATCATAATACCAAGGGTTTCGATCTTGCACTTCATCTATTGCGGTAATAAACTCGTAGGCCGGCGCATATCTTTGCTCGATAATAATCGGACGCATCTGGACTCCCAACGGGATATCTATCATGGAAGATAGAGTGAATAAGG